GGCCGGATTTCTGGTCTGAGCCCATTTATACAGGCACAAATCAGACTATTGTCATCTAATGTAGTGCTTCTCCCCAGTTTCCTCATCCTTGTGAGGAAATCTACTGCTGTCTCTGCGTCCCCCTGTTTTTGGTGAAACAGTTCAACAGTTTTCTGCAGCTTCATTTGCTGGGTTTGTTGAAAAGAATTTAGAAATTCTTCTTTAAATAAGGTGAAGTCTTTTCTTACTCTTTCTGGTAGAGCTTGAAACCATAGTTCTGCCCTTTTTTTTAATAAGAAAGGCAGATACTGCGTTTTGTCTGGCTGATTGGCCACAAACGCCTCATACCTTGCAAGCCAGTGTTGCGGTTCCTCCTCAACGTCCCCATAAAAGGGATCTGGGGTAAAAAAAGTGGGAAAGGTAACAAGCACTTGGGCTTGTTGCTGGGGAAGAGGTTCTTCTTGTCTTCCATTCGCCATTTCTGCTGCCGCTGCGCTCCTAGTATTCACCCTGTTATTGTTTGGCTGGCTCATGAGAGGTTGTATAGGGATCTTCCACCTGTCTTCACCAGTATAACCAACAAGATTTCGTGTAGTTATAGAACTTTATTAAGCTAAGCTGAGCAACTAAAAATGATGTTAACAGAGTCGTGGCTGAAGCTCAACTGTCCTAAAAGTCCAGTGGCACTCTTAAGGTGAGGGGTGGTCCCCTTCCCTTTCATTGGTCAGTTCAGTATTAAATTATCCCCAGCCAACAATACGCAATAGATGTGATATAAATCTTAAACTTTGACTTTGATGTTTTAGAACTCTATCTTCATCTCCAGACGGGATCAGTTAATTGTTCCAAAACAACAATAGCTATCTATCCTGTGATGTTATCAACATACAGTGAATATAATTTAATGATCCCGACTGCAGATTAAGGTCACCATGAAGGCATTTTACTAGATATCTTATGAAATTAAAATGAGTTTCAAATTTTAAAATCATCTCTATTATAAATAGCTCTGTCTAAACAGACACAGGCATGCTTCAGAGCATGAACCTCCCCCCCCCCCCAAATTTACCTCACTTACTTTTAATGTCCTGACTTTAACTGGGGAAAAATCTCACTTTTACAGCTAGTGCATATTGCTGACTATTCTCAAAGCTACTGAAGACTGAAGACCTTCAAGTGGTTTTATCACAGACAGTTTTCGATGTCAATAAATCACCTCGACTGCCTCCCCCCTCTGTATTAACACCATGAGCCAAGTTGAGAGCATCCTTATTGACCAAAATTCCCCTATTGACATTAATCCCATTACCTGAAGTGAGGCCATCAAAACAAGGTTGGAAAACAAAACAACACGGTTAACTTATATTATCTCTGCCTGCCTCATGACGCGTGTCCTAAGAAGTGACCCAACTTCCCCGTGGAAAGCAACTAGTATTTATCTAATAACTCCTGTGAACTCATTCTGGCATCATCTTATCACTTTAACTGGTCTCTCAACTTAATTCAGTTTATTGATAATATTAGTGTTTGGCAGTTTAAATTCATTTTGTTAAGTAGAAGTCTACATAACTGTCTAATTTCTAAATGGCAGCTAGACTGATCTCTGATGTGCATAAATATTGCATATGTCTGATTCTACCTGTTGCTTTGAAAACCTTTTTGTAAAGTCCCATGCATGATTGGTACAGAGAGAAAAGGACAAGAGGTGAAACCTCTTCAATCATCTCTCTGCTGTTAAAGATCAAATGTTCAAAAAATACTGGTGGAAAAGAGAAAAACAAATGGCAAATATTTTAAATTGTACAGTGTAATTTTTGATTGACAATTACCCACCCTCTACATGTACAGGTATGCTATTACTAGTAGGTGGTGATTTAAGTTTAACAGTAATTTTATATTTACATTACTTTTCATTTGTCAAATGATTTGTAGTACAAATTTAGATTCAATTACATAAAACATTTTTAAATGTAATGACTACATATATATGATTACTAACATTATGCAGTCCTCTTGTAATGGCTTTGATGAGTAGCCAGTGGATAGACCCCTGTCAAACAGTTATTGAGAAAACCTGTTTATGGCATGCTTATCACTATGGCCATCTCAGACCAGGGGGTCGGGTCTAGATGAAGAAGTCCTGTACTAGTAATTAAGTTATCTACGGTACCTGACCAAAGCTAAACCCTGCTCCTATGTTTGTGCAATTACCCTGGCTTCTCATATCACATGGAACCAAGAAGCTTTGTTCCTTGTTACTGGTATATGAATCATGATTGTTTCAGTACAAAGAGCTAGGATATTACTGTGAGGAAGTTACAGAGGGAAACTGATTGCCTATGACCTCAATCTTATAAATATCCAACCACAGTTCTGAATGTCTTACAGCACAGCAAAATGTGCTAATGATTCATACAACAGGATTTAATTTTGGAGATGTGAGCATAAATTTCCCTTAATTCAAGATATCGTGAACAAGTATTACCTGTATTTTCTTTAATAACATACTGTTACTGTATCCTGCTAAAACCACTTTAATATCCTATCAGGTAAAGTGTTCTTGATTTCTGTAAAACATCTTTGGTTATTAAAGAGTCTTCAACATCTTGAATAACTCTTTGGGACCAGCCGATATCAGGCCCATAGCCGGGGGGGGGGGGGGGGGGGGGGGGGGGGGGGGTTCAAAAGAACCTCCCCTTTTGCTGGGAAAAGGTCCACTCTGGGTAAAATTTGATCTAGGTACATGTAGTTTTTATGGGAAAAGGTCCACCTTTTCAGAAAAAGAACCCCCTTTTTGAAATTGCTGGCTATGGGCCTGCAATTTAAAGGGTATGTGATATTATCTTGTCTTGGACTGGGTTCCCATGCCTAGATCGATCCATCTGGATCGGTCTAACTCCCTAGGGAGTCTCACTAAAATGTCTGCACACCTATTGGATCGGCTAAGGGGTAAAGATAATTACCCTCTTACAGCTTTACTAGGCGTTACAGACATTTAAACCAGTTAAGTTAATAGCAATTTAGTTAGACTCCCTAGGGAGATAGATCAATCCAAATATCGGTGGGAATGGTCCTTTAGTTAAACTTCCCTAGGAACATGATAATAATATAGTACTGTAGACAATCACTGTACACATGGTGTGACGAGGCACGATGGAAGTAGGCCACATATTTATGTACACAGCTTTACATAACTGACAGGTTACTGACCTTTTTGTAGTCAAATCCTAGAAGTCCTTTCACTTAAAATTTTATGTTCTCCTTTTAATATTTCAATTGTTTATATCACAAACCAAACGTTTGTGTTCTATGGTTATACAGCTTGATAGTGTTTGTGTGCTTTTTCTTACTCATACAGACAAGATAATTTACCAAAAAGATTAAAACAGATACTGTATGTATTCAAGATTACAGAGGCATGGAAGAGATGCTGGTACTAGTACAGACTGGTTTGAGGATTATTCAATAACATAATGGTTATACATTCAACTTTTTTGGTCATGTAGGTACTTTGCATAACTTAGGAATATAAAAAATCCAACTTTACATCTTTTACTGGACAATTTTTAACTGTCAGGAGATAATCACTAAGCAATTTTATTCTACTTTTTTCCTTTTTTCTTTTTTTTTTTTTGGGGGGGGGGAAACAAAACAATATCCTTCAGTGGTCATCTCAAAGGGTTTACTACAACATTCAACAGAATAAAAACCAAGGAAAACCTAAAAATCTAATCATAATTTAAAACTATCATAGGCAGATTTTAACATCATATTTTCTGAGCCTTTGATCCATACACATAAAGTTCATTTCATATCTCTTCCATCTCAGAATTGTTCATTAATAATAACTGAGATAATAACAGTGAATCATATTCAGGTAATGAGTATACAGTGGTTTCCGTTCTAATCATCCAAATGTTCCCCTTGAGGGAAGTAAGGTCTGGTTGTCATGAGGCATTTAATATCCACTGAACAGCCATGGAAAGCACAATACAGACAAATATATATATATATACACACACACACAAACACACAACAGAATAGGTAGGAAAAAGTCAGTCCACAGTTTAAAGGGCAGAAGAGAGATGTGGAAAAAAGGTATTAGTGTAGCATACATGGATATCTTTTAGACCATATCCTTGTTTGATCTCAGTATTTATGTTACACATTCAGTACGTACAAATTATCCCCACCAATCACCCCCCCCAAATTAAGATCCTGAAGGAAATATTCCAACATGACCCCATTACTTGTATAGACATCTGGTTTCATACTTGTCCATGGCTTAATAATGACACCCTAGAGGTGCTGACCTGAATCATGTCCTGTACTAATTAAGTAACCATAATGGGGTAAATTGGGGTGAGGCTATAAAATTACCCCCCCCCCCCCAACAAGCTGCATATATATATATATACATACGAAAGAAAAAAATCATAATAATTTTATTTACGTCTCACATTTGAAAAATAAAACCCAACCTACTAAGGGTCATCAGAGATGTAAAGTATGTGAATCATGTCTTATGTACAAACATGTCAACATTTTTAACATTTAAGACAAAGGCACTCAGATCTGACTACAGAAAAACATGGACTAGGCTAGAACCTAAAATATCACTGAACAACCTTGCCCTTCACTCGTAACATTCCTACATACCTTAAATAATATTTTGACTTGAATGTCCAATTTCTAACCAAATACATGAGAGCATATAAGATATTCCAACATACTAGTAACTGAAATGGCAGCATATCACATTTTCTACCTAATAGTAATATATCAACAATAACATCAGTTACAACTACAACACAGAGAAACTTGTTTTGACAAAAATTCTGACTCGTTTGATAACACTTACTCACCCTTCTCTCAACTTTAGCGTTTAATCGGTGAGAAACAAGCACCTGTGTCACACGTGAAAACGTTTTCAATTCTCTAGTAAAATAATTTCAAAACAATAAAATCCCAAGTGTAAACACTTCTCCGCGTTTGTTACAAGAAAATCAATTATCCTTTCCCCATGGTCACTATTGTTAGGATGGTCTTCATTTCCGCAACATGGTTAGAGAAATGACGCAAACAGCAGCAGATCTCGCATGACACTCCTGACAAAGTGCCACTTACAAATGACACTCCTCGACTTCACGAGCTACACGCGGCTCCGAACCACTCACCTTCTTCGGCAAGCCTTCTTTGCCTAGTCTACCTTTGGCTACTTCATTGAGTCAAAACAGCTCTACCAATTGACATTACAAGCTGCTGACATTTTAGTGACGTAAATAACTTATTTAAAGCCACATTTAAAAGAAATCCATCTGTCGTCCGCACGTCTTTAAACACAGCAGCCTGTTGCTTACCCTTTGACACGAGGATCTAATTTGAAGGATAGTTTCGAAGACTTTTATCTTGTTCAGACACTGAAATAAATATTAAATAACTTTAAATGTAAGAATTTAATTTTTTTTACATTTTACTTGCTTCAATCATTTCGTTTCAAACATTTATTTTAATATAATGCATTATTCGTAACTACGGCGACATCTATCGACAAGATAATTTACCGGCAGGACATGTGCACTGATACGTTCATCGACAGCAATCGTTGCGTGGACTTCCAAATTTGACGTGTAGCACACGAGGACTAAGAAATGCCGTATTTGAGTATGGCTGATTAAGCTTGCTGTAAATTAAGGTCCTTACGAATACAACTTAGTAGGTGTGATCCTGGTAGGATACCTAACCGGACATTTAGGAGTTGTGTAACTCGTGATGTAAGTAATACGTTCACGGCAACCACGACATCGTTCTTCATAGCTGCTGTTACAGACTGACTACGCCATACTTTTAACTCGTTCCAGTTCCTTCATTGACGTATTTTTTAGAAGAGGTATTACTACAAGTCTGTAATAGGATAAAATTATTTAGTCATACTCTTTGACCTTGTGTCCTAATATAAATGCCGGCCGGGTAAATGACATTGGCATATTCATATGTAAACTGAAATTAATACGGATCTGCATTAATGGAGAGATCGTTTTTCTATCACAGTTTTATGTATTTATTGCTGTGTCAGCGCAGTCAAAACAATCTAATACTATTAGTAGTTACAAGTAGTACATTTTAGAGAACAAAATGTACATGTACATGCAGTAGACTCCAAATTTGTCATTAATTCTCATTATTTTATAATGAATTATTAAGGTGATCAGTGCCTCTGCTATTCTGTTAAATTTGTTTGTATAATATGATATAATATAATATAATATAATATAATATAATATAATATAATATAATATAATATAATATAATACTTGTCACATTTTGAGATTTTGAGTGCTGGATACTACTGTAAAGATCTAGTCAGTCTAGCTGGTGCATGCTTACCTGTGGTTACCTGTACAAATTAATGTCCATTTATGTTAATCTTAAAGTCATAATAACTCTTCATTTTGGCCAAAAATTGGATTTTCCTAGAGTAAACGGCAATTTCCCGTACTTACCAATGGTCAACGACCCCATTCCTGCATTCAAAGTTAGTCTAGGGTTTTTTCCTAAACGATTGGTTTTTTGTTAAAATATCTTAAGAGATTTTAACTGACGGGGCCCTCTCTGACATTGCATAGTCGCGCGATATTGAGCGGGGTTTTCTGGTGACCTACATAAAACCGCGGGAAAAGCAGACAACAACAACACTTTATTACAATCAAATAAGATTCATACAATATAGTTGTCTTATTGCTTAAAATGCATTTATATCTACAATGTGTGCAGTTCTGGGCCTTTTGTTATCCGACGCACTGTACAAAAACTCGCAACTTTCGTCTGAGGATTGCATCATGTGCCTGCTATATCTTATCCCGCCAAATGTTATTTGGTCTCGAATGAACGCGAGAATCTGCGTGACACGCCAAAGTCATTGGCAACGGATGCCTTGACCACCGGGAAGAAAGGCACCGAAAACCCTATTGACAAGCACAGTTTTTAGTTTTACTACAATAACAGCCGTTTTAGTGGTGAAATGCCATATAATATATTTCCATGCGTTGTTTAGAATGTATTTCTTGCGGAATTTTGAATCTCAAAGGAAGAGTTATCATTGCTTTAAGTAAGTGTGGTGAGGACTAAGGCCTCTAAGGTGTTCTTTTCTATAATCAGCTATATGTTGATTTTGATTAGTGCCTCTTGTAGTGAATCTGTACATATTAAATTGTCTTGAAAATCACTAAATTTAAGCAAACTTAAATTAAGCTTCGGATTGAAGTAGGACTTAACATTTTAAAATTACTTTACCAAATTATGATCTAAAAGATTCCGATATTTCAACTGTCAGGCTTTACTGTAGAATCAAGTGTAAGAAAAAGATCACTGAGAATTCTAACGTGTGATCCAGCCATAGTAAGGTCACTTTGCTTCATCTTCCTGGTAATTATCACTTGAAACTTGATCTATCCTGTCTTTATATTTAATTGTTATTGGCCATGCCAACGAGGTGTGAAATATCTGATGCCATCATCATTTTTTGTGCGTAGTTCTTTTCTTTTAAGGTTCATTTGAACCAAGGATGAAGCATGGATTCTTAGTAACATATATAAACCACTTCTACTAGGTTCTCATACACCTAAAATAAAATTTGCATGCCAATGGATAAACTAAATTAGTCATTCAAAAAGCCAAAAAAGAGCTTTAAAAGGCACCTTCTTCAAATTTTTGGTCATAAATTTAACCAACTAGTAACTATCTAACCTATTTATCAGCCTGTTAATATACAGCATAGAAAGCAAGCAAAAAAAATCCATTCAAACATCATTTTTAAGGTAATATTAAATAGCGTCCTTTGGTATTTCTTTAAGTTTTACCATTTGAAACTGTATGGCAGCATTTGGTAGGCTTTCGTAGCAAAATTTTGACTTCAGATGCCTCTTTAATCCCTATTGAGCTGGGTGATGAACTTATTTCTAAAATATCTATTATAGAATTGGGTTTAAAAAAATGAGCTTATTTTTAAACCCAATTTTATGATGTTCATGTGAAATGTATGATAGGTTTATTTATCTGTATCAAAAACTAAAAGATGACTATTTCCTTCTTACGTCTTTCCTTGCAACGTCCAGTGAAAGTGAAACCTTAATTTATCCCTGAGAACTTCATATCCTAGTATATTTTCTAATAAGAAGTAACAAAAACTTTTGGCCATGCCACTTTTTCATTACCTTAGTCCATGATGTTGAAATGTGATATTTTTCACAACAAATGAAGTTTCATCTTGTAGTTCTTAAAGCTGTTTGGTCTCCTCTGCCTTGCTTGGTCACTTTAAAGAAAGTCTGTGAGATGTACTTATGAAAATCTCTGCAAGAGTCGACTGCAGACCTCTGCTGTTTGGTTCAAATGTCTCCACCAGCCAATAAGAGTACAGTGTTCCTCTATACCTCAAAGACAGTCTGATATGGCCCTTTACGGTTTATTCCTGGACCACCATTTCTTGTCCAGAGCATTCCAACTAATGATAATCAAGAGATATTTGTTCTTTTCTTATAATTCACATAGCAAGCATTACTTGTGCAGAATAATTACTGTTATTGGAAAATTGTATATCATTCTGTTGAATGTCAAAATACTGATGTCACCAAGGTAAACATCTGCTGTCCAAGGTGACAATTGACGTCAGGTAGTTATTATAGTCAGGGTTGTGGCGTCAGTGGTTATTGTAGCAGTAGTACATTTGTGTGCGGTGCAACCTGGCTGGTGCTAAAAATAAGAAACAATTTTGTTAAGTGTTCTTTTTTGGTTACACAAGCCATGATGGAGGTGTGTCACATTGTCAGTGACATGTGACGGTCAAATAGTCCAATGTTTTACACAAAATGAACATCAAGTTCAAATCGATTATCTAAAGTGCTCCCTGGTTGAATGATTTATCAAGTTATCGCACAGTTTGTGAGCACCATTCCCAGGTATAACTGTACTTTATCTTGGCTGAATCTGTGGATTTTGTATATATATATATATATACATATATATATATATAGAGAGAGAGAGAGAGAGAGAGAGAGTATATTACCTGCTAGCTGTAGATGATAATTAAATTTGGGAAATTTGACATCACTCTTGCATTAAACAGACATAAGACCAAGTAGTTTCACTTTTGATATCACTTTACAATACTTCAGTAAAAAAAAACATTCAAAATGAAAGTTCCATCTTCTATTTATCAACGTAGCAAAACTGTTACTTCTCTGACAAATTCTGTTTATATACACATGTGAATTTATTTACAAATAAGTTATGCTTATGTGTTTATTTCCCCAGTTAAGAAGACAATGTCAAGATTTAACGACATTATCGCTGTACTTCGGGGACTAGAGAGCGTCACCAGGGCCCTGGCGCTACGACAAGAGGCCCAGTTTAGAGTTTTCTGGAGTAACTCTTCTCTCAGGAAAACTGGTCAGGGGGTCAATGACCAGCTTGGTGCAGTGGTCACCAATGCTGCTGACCAACAGGCTGTTTTTCAGGTAAGTGTGCTGAAAGGAGAAAAATTTGGAAAGACATCTTTATAAGGATGGGTATAACACAGAAGAAAATGCCTATAAATATTTGTTAATGGTGCAGGAGACGTTATTCACTGTATTTGTATTTTCATTATTTTTTATGAAAAAAATTCATAATTCATTTTTATTGTGAAATGTTTTAACGGATATAAACACAAAAAATTAAGTTCTGCAGTAGTGTCAGAAATGTTTTTTACATTTCAGTTAACTCAGTTTTGGTAGTTCTGGTAGTATTTTAATCAGAGTAGCCATTTAATGTACCATAATTTATTTTCAGAAGAATATTCAAGAAACTTTGGAAGGAATTAAAGATACAGCTTCTATAATAGGGTCAAAATTAGGAAAGAAAGAAGAAAAATGTAATGATGATTTTGAGGCATTTTCAGAAAACATTGGTTCACTGACTGATGAAAGTGTGATATCAGAACTCTTGGATAAAACACCCAAATTTGCAGACGATTATGTAGCTTTCACGGGATTGGACCAGAAAAGTAGCCATAGCCAATCAGATGCTGCATTTCATTATGATTCCACAGTACCAAAATTTACAGCTGAGAGTCTAACAAAAATGGAAAAGGAACATTTACACCAACAGAAGGAAAAGCATTCAACAGTTGTTGAGGAAGCAAATCAAAATCTTTCATCTGTGGAGGAATCAAAGGCACCTGTTTCATCTTCATCATCAAAACCAACCAAATCATCGAATTCGTTGGAAAAACTTTCACAATCGAAGTCGGAAAAAGCAAATAAAACTGCTAACGTGTCACCAGAACCTTTCGCTTCCCAACAATCAACTGCCATTGCATTTGAAAATGTTTTAAAAGAAACCAAAAGCTCTAAGAAGAGTTCAAAATACCAACAGAAGGTGGGTGTGTTGTTATTTAAGGGTGTATTCCCAGAGATTTAGATCGATCCAGAGATTAAGATTTAGATCGACCTAACTCCCTGGGGGTTCACACTAAATTGCAGTCAGTGGAACGTGCACCATAGTTAATTACCCCCTTACAGCTTTTAGTAGGCGGGACAGACACTTAAGCCGGCTAAGCTGACAGTAATCTAGTGAGACTCCCCACAGGGATAGATCGATCTAAAATCTATGGAAATGGGGTCTTAGTTTCCTTTACTTATGTGATGGTAAAGGGATGAAGGTATATTTTTGAGTGAGGAAAAGCACAATATTATTTTGAATGTCTGCTTTAAGTGGTTATGTGCAATTTGAATAATGCACAGTCTGCTAGTCCAAATGATAGAAATGATTGATATACTTGAACTAATCAAGTCCTGTGTAGTTATGTATTGTAGCTTAGATATAATATAATATAATATAATATAATATAATATAATATAATATATCCTAGTTGCGCTGCCTAAATTTTAAGACCTCATGTTGTATGGTGATATAGTTAACAGTGATTTTGTCTACTGAGTTTCTTTTATGAGCTTAAAAAAGCCTCCCACCTTGAAGAGTTTATTTTTGTTTCAGTTAAGTGAGCGAGCTAAAGAGAGGAAAGTGCCTTCGTCCCGTGTGGGAAGAGTAATGAACTATGGAGGTAATGTCAAAATATAAATTATGATTAATCCAGTGGTGATGTTCAAAAGGCATGGATATTAAATCTAACACCGGGCAGTCACGGAGATCTACAGACATTTTAGGGATCATTCCCACAGATATTTTGGATCGATTTTTCTCTATCCGATCTGTCATGCCTAGTAAAGGTGTTAGGGGGTAATTATCTTTATCCCTAGCTGATTCGGTAGGTATGACAGACAATTAAGCCAGTTAGTTGACAGCAATTTAGTGAGACTCCCCAGGGAGTAAGACCGATCCAGATGGATGGATCTAGGCATGTGAACCCAGTCTTACAGAGACTCTGATGTTGAGTCCTTTATCACAAAGACATCATCAGGGAACTGTCACTACAGGTGACACTGCTGGTGGAATGGCAGTTGTCATGTGACAGTCGGAGACAGGGGCAGATCCAGAGATATTTTCTGACAGTCTTCTAAATCATCTTTGTTGATCCATCCACCATTTTTGACCGTCTTCCGACAGAAAAATTTAGATACTTGTCAATTTAAACTTGAAAATTTGACCATCTTCCAGAAGACGTCCTAAATCTGCCCCTGAGAGACCTGAGTCTCCGTCAGTGCCCAGTATTACATTTAATATTTGTGCCATATGGAGGTTATGTATGCTCGAGAGTAAAACTTCTGGTTTTAATGTGTTTTATGATGGTTTTTAGTGGTATGCCAGAATGCATGGATGCGTGCACCACATACACTTACACATGCGTGGATGTGCTATGTGTGAATTTCATATCTCCAATCATGTCTCTACATTTTCCCAGACATGTTTTTAACAGAGAATTTGTTTTGGATTTTGTCTATAAATAGGTGTCTGTTACATATGGGTTATGCCAATTAACGCCCTTGTCTTATGTAAGTTTTTGTTACAGTAGTGTTAAGACTTAAATCTATGTCTTCCAGGTCTTGCAGCAGGACTAGGCATGGGGGCACTAGCAGAAGTTACAAAAAGATTTGTCGCTGGAAAGGATGATAAAAAGAGTAAGTTGAAGTCTGCGTGAAGCATTATGGAATGTTGTCCAGATAATTGTACCTCAAAATTTGTCTGACATAAAGATAGTTAGCTGGTCAAAATTTAATAACACAAACAGAAACAAAGCCACTGTACTTAAGGACTATATGCTGACATCACTCTTGTATGTGGTATATAATTATATTGACCTGGTTTTAACTTTCTGCCAGACACAGCATTTGTGGAGGCTTCCTTGCGTGATACTGATGTGAAATAATTAACTTTGTTATGCTGGAGTAACTATGATTCAGAAGTTCATTGTTTCACATATCACATATTTCTAAATAACTATTGATTGACATCATTCCAGGTTTCTATTTTATAATTTTTACCTGCCATCTTTAAAGTGGACAATAGCTATGATTTTCGTAATATCTGTCATATTAGTGATGTAAATGGCCACACTTCATCCAAATGGTTTATTATATTATTTAAATTAATTAAATTTTACACTGTCATTTATGAGCTTTGGATTATACTCACACTATGTCACTTTCAATCTCTGTGACACAATATTGTTGACAACATGACTGAGGAACCAGGTGACCTTGGCACACTGAAGACTCTTTTGGACGAATGTGTTGATTGGTTCACCTTGCCCTACTTTCCAAGGTCACGGAAATACTTCTCTCTGGCAGAAACTCATGGAAGCTCTGCTTTGAACTTGTTTTCATTGATACAAATGGTAACAGTACAATCAAATATAGTGGAAAAAAAATCCCGGAATTGCTTCTACTTTTTGCAGAACTCGAGGCATCTGCAATACTTGACTCCACGTCCAATCCTTTCTTGAGTGAGGCGAACGCTGAGCGGATTGTGAACAAACTGTGCCAGGTGAGAGGGGCCGCGCTGAAGCTGGGACAGATGCTTAGTATACTGGATAACACCATGATAAACCCAGAACTGGCCAAGATATTTGATAGAGTGAGACAGAGTGCCGATTTCATGCCAGCTTGGCAGATGGAGGTATTTGTTTTTAATTGTTTGATAGTTTGCTTCTGGAAATAAATCAAATATGAGCTTTTTTTTTTTGCTCTAATGCCGAATTCTACTTTTTTAAAATTCAATTCTGATGGTTCCTGAGATTCATGGCCGATTAGGTATTGGGTCCCATGATAAATGTTCAGAAGTTTTTTATTTTTTATCTTTTTTTAAACCTAGGCTCATGTTTGATATATATGAAAATTGCTTTTAAGGGACCATATGTGTAATGTTGATGTTGAGAGCAGTTCACCGTTTAGTACATTGTATGCAGTTACAAATGGTAACATTTTTATGTGGAGATTAGTTAAATGCAGAAAATGAAGAATTGATGGTATGAACTATGAAAATATTGTACAAAATATGGGACATTACATATATTATTGAATAGCTTATTTGTGAGATAAAACACTGTTACTAGAGTGGAATATACCAGAACACCTCAAGCCTCAAGTGCTTGCATTTCACTGAAAAACACCTCTAAATCCAAATAAAACAGTCACATAACTTCTGTATGTATGCACTGAATAGAGGAAACAATCGTTTGCTGTTCCAGAAAGTGATGAAGAAGGAGCTAGGCAGTGATTGGAGGGACAAGTTGGCCGAGTTTGACCCCAAACCATTTGCTGCTGCATCTATAGGTCAAGTACACAGAGGGAGGCTTCATGATGGAAGAGAAGTGGCCATTAAGATACAGGTAAGAGACCTTTTCAGGGCCACATTTTAGTTACCTTTCACTGTGTTAAATATTATATAGATATGATGCTTCTAGTATGTGTTTAATGGAGTGCTTCCTCTTATACCAGCTCAGTGCCCTTGATAATGACAGCACAGTGTATCACATGGGTGATCAAATTTACCTAGATTTTAATTGAAGAGATTTTAATGAGACACTTAAATGATTTAGTTAAAATAGTTTTAAGTTGAGCAGAACATAAAAGATGTATCAACTTTGACTAGAACTGTCTCCTAGAACTGTCTTGTTTTACTTTTCAGTACCCAGGAGTTGGTAAAAGCATTAACAGTGACATTGACAACTTGATGTTTGTCTTAAACTTTTGGAAGATTCTACCGAAAGGTATGGCATTTTAATGTAGCAAATAAAAGTCAAGTGTTTCCAATACATAATGAGTTTTAGAGACCCTGCTGATAAAAAACGGGTCAATAAAAAGTCAGCATGTGACTGTGTGCTTCAAAGAGGGCTTCTTGTATCAAAGTATGTCGAGGACTAATGCCAACCCCATCCATGTGATTCAAGAGTTAAACTGGAAAGGGAAAAATAAGATGCGAATAAAGAATAATATTTGCTGCCAGTTGAACCAAAAGTGAAATATGAAACTAATACAAATCATGTCGATCCATATATAGTTGTTTTGGCATATGATCAAATAAACCACTTACTCATGTACATATACACACACACACACTGCACGCACGCACAGTGAAGGAATGCGTCAGACATCAGGGTCATGTTGTGGTGTTGTTATCTTCAGGACTGTATGTGGAAGAGTTTGTGCAGCAAGCCAGGATAGAGTTAGCCTGGGAAGTAGACTACTACAGGGAAGCCAAGTATGCTAAGATATTCAGGTATGCCATCTAGAATGTCTGTAGAAGTTTGACTTGTTTTAGTTAATTATGATGAAGGTATCTAAGATAAGTTGTCTAAAAATTGGTGGACATGTTTTGCCCAAAACCAACACATTCTTGACATCTGTAAATATGTCTTTCAAGGCAGAAATAATTTCCTAATGCATTTGCATTGTAGAAAAGCATGTTTGAATTTATACAGACCATTTCGTACAATAGTCAAAGTATATCATTTATTTCACCTTCATTGAGATTCTCTCCTTTCATGTGTAGTTGGTTGGACAGAAATGGTAGTCTAAGAAATAGAACTCTGGTTCTATAAGATAAAAATAGGTCAGGGCTAGCTATAAGTATCAAGGTCTTTATGTTGGCCTGTAGCCTGTTCAGAGTAATGGGACATTATCATTGTTGTCACAGCTAGTGATTTACTTGCAGGGATGACTTACTGAATGATGAGGTGTTTTACGTGCCTGAAGTGATCCCAGAGCTGAGTTCTAAGGAAGTAATCACCTCAGAACTGATTGATGGAGTACCTCTAGATCAGGCTGTAGACATGGACCAAGACACTAGGAATCATGTAAGTCAGCCTCTCTCTCTCTCTCTCTCTCTCTCTCTCTCTCTCACACACACACACATGTGGGTGGGCGGAGGCATATGATGGTAGATTTGTGGTCTCTCTAACAATCAATACATTTTATTTTACATTCATTTTTACATTTCTACTTTGTTTACATTGTGGTAATGGTAAGTGAATTTTTGGCTGGAGAACCATGTGTCTAACACAGGTCATTGAACTTGATGATCAAAGAATATCACATGTTGAACCTTCATAAAGATTCTGTCCAGCAAGAATCCTTCCATGTGTAGATGAGAATCTTTGCAGGTCAGTAGCCAGCAGTTTTAAAAGGGGGGTTCTTTTTCTGAAAAAGTGGACTTTTTACAATGAAACCTTTGAGTACCTAGATCAAATTTTACCCAGAATGGACCTTTTTCTGTCAATAAGGGCGGTTCTTTCAAACCCCCGACCTCCCCTGGCTATGGGCCTGCTTTGTCTTACAATGGGATGACAATGGAAGGTTTCTTCAAATGTTATTGTGGGACATGAGTTTCTGTCCAATGTTGTCCAGGAATTGTGTCTTTGAGGATGTTTGCTGTATTGGTTTTGTCTCTACCTTGAAATCCAACAGGTACAAAGTGTTTAGTGTTGTGTTGTATTTGTCGTGGGAACTTTGTGTGATAATTATTGTTATTTATTCTTGGCTTAGATTTGCAAGAACATCCTGAGGCTTTGCCTTCACGAGCTGTATGAGTTAAGACTTATGCAACCAGATCCTAACTGGTCCAACTTCTTCTTCAACCCTACCACTGGAAAGGTAAAGATGTTTGATCGAACTTTTAATTTGTCCATTTATTTACAGATGTTTGTCCATTTACTAATAAATGTAGGAGGATTCTGAGAGCTTATGATAATCAGGTCTGGAGGATTGGGGGGGGGGGGGGAGAAGTTTAATAAATTTGTTAAAATATGAGATGGAATTGGATGAGCTGAACTCTTGTGCTTCATTTGGTCATGCAGATTTTATAAATGTAGATGAAAAAAGAATAAATGATTTTTTTTCTCTCTAGATATACTTGCTAGACTTTGGTGCCACCAGGAAATATGACACAGAGTTTGTGGACAGTTACATCAGGATCATTAAGGCTGCCGGGGAGGGGGACAGAGAGGGCGTGTTAGAGTGGTCCAAGAAAATAGGCTTCCTCACTGGTTATGAGTCAAAGGTAAAGGTCGTGTCAAGGTCACTGGGTGTATTATCTCAGTGGGTTCTGTTTCTTCATATCCTGGGTGTACAAAATTACTAAGTTAAGACAAGTTGCAAAGAAAGAGGTATAATAGATATAATTGTGGCATTCTAGGATGTTCATAGTTTTTAAAATCTATTTAAATCTGGTTGTATAGGATAATATGGGTCAATTTCATATAATTACAAACATATCAAGGTAAATTTTGCATGTTTAAGTTTTCAGAGTTGTTGAAGCGGTGTTGTCAGCAATAAGCACTGTTCTCATTTCATGATGATTCATCCTCTCACAATACTTTTAGGTTATGGAAGATGCCCACACAGATACAGTCCTCATTCTTGGCGAAGCCTTCAACTCCGCGGAACCCTTTGACTTTGCCACGCAGAGCACTACGCACCGCGTTAGGAACATCCTGCCTGTCATGCTGGACCATCGCCTCTCGCCGCCACCAGAGCAGACGTACTCCTTGCATCGCAAAATGTCTGGCGCATTCCTGCTTTGTACTAAACTGAGGGCTAAAATTCAATGCAAGGAGATGTTTGACAAAATCTGGGACAACTATAAATTTGAGGAATATGAGAAAGATGCATTTGGTGCTTAGTTTGGGAGACACTTATTGTTTTATCTGACTTCAAATAAGGGAAGAGGGATCCTACATATGTCAGTTTTATGTGCTGTTGGATATTCCAAAATGTTTTTCCTTAATTATATTGAAGTGGTTTATCACAATAGAAAGTTTGATTATTGGCGTTCTTGTTGTTGTGAATTATTATCTGGAATATTCACTTGTTTGGGGAATTTATTTCAATGTGTCAAGCAATTAAGGGACAGATTATTTACAAGTTTGTCCAAAACATATTGAAGATATTAATATTAATAAACTTTTGGTTTAGAAAGCAAAATCCTTGTCCTTTGACCAGTCTAAAATTATTTATTAATTATTTGAGAGAATATGAATAAAGCAATGAATTCATACCATGTATTCCAATCTTTTGTTTTATTTTCTGGGATTGTAGCATAATAGAAATTATCACAACCTTTTCACCATAAAACAGACAACAAAAATATATTTTCTGGACTACAAAAAAGGGATAATTATGCTACAAAATACTTTCTCTGCTAGAACTAAATATATATATTTTTTTATTCCACTAAATTAAGCATTGCAGTAAAATTAACTAAGACAAAACTTGTTACTCTGTAACAGCACATGTTTATAAAGTAATATAGGACAAGTGAAATTATTTTTTTTTTTAAATATAAAAATATGCTCATGGGTAAAGACTGCTAGAGGATGGCTAGAAAACACAACATTCAGCAGGTATATAACATGGACGGATTACTATCACTGGTTCAACAAAATGACGGCTAAAATGTAACCTCCTTGCCCTAGTTACCCAACATAATTATAAGGACAAACAAAAAAAAATGGACTAAAAAGCAAATTGGCATCTTTGACTTCCAGTCGACTTGGAATATATCAGCTTGTTCTCTGCAAACTTCTCTTCAAATATAATGTACAGAATTCTTAATGCATCAGTTTTGTTATAAAAAAATATGAAATCTGATTAGACATTTTAATTACCTCATTATTACCCTACTGTATGTATTGTATATGCCTCTGTCCCACCTCTTGATATTCCCATTGTCCTTCATTCTGTATGGCTTGATAATGTTTGTCTTTGAATTAAACACCAAGAACATAAGCCAGATTACTCAGACAGGAGATTTTTCCATGAAAACTGCATTTTTTAATTCAATTACTAAGGTGGCCCCCGAACTGCTGGCTGGTTAGTTTGAGTTCCATGGTCAATGTTCAAGAGCTTTTTTTTTCTTTTTAAAACCTAGGCTCATGTCTGTTATTTCTTGCATGATGGCTGACACACAGCACTTAGTAGGTCCATTCCTTCAGTCAGTCTCCAAGTCCTTCAAATTAAAGCTGCTGACCTTGTTACATATTTTCCAAGTCATATCCAGCACTTGAACTTGAAGAAGGCCTGTATATCTGGGTCATCCACAGACTTGTGGTTCACGCCAGCATACACTGACTTACACAGGTCTGTCTTGAACTTGGCATCCAGGGTCTCTACATACTTCTCTATGGATCCTGAAGTAGATTGACAGAAAAAATGAAATATTATTTTTAATGAAAGTATAGGTTAAATAGGATTTTAAATGGATATAAAAATACTGATGGCTGACTTTGATGTACTATTTGAGTAAGAATTTTTCTCCTTAACCTACAGCATAGAAGTGATAAGAAATAAAGAGTAGTCTATTGACATGAAATTCAATATTATTAAATGATCAAACTAGACATTCTTCAAATGGGATTACTAAAACAGTAAAACTATCAAAATGGAAAACAGCAAACTAATGTCAAATCAATTTCCAAACAAAGCACTTATAATGATATCAAATTAAGAATTTTATCATGTTAAAATTTCACTGACCGAGGCCCATTACTCTCCCCAAGGCAATTAAGTTTGGTCCCAGCCTGGGGTCGTCAAACTTCTCTGCCTTCATCAGCAGTCGCACTATCTCCTGGAAAATGTAGGCATCATCAAAAGATGGGGTCTCTGGGACGGGGAACCTGGCATAAATATCAACTGCAGCCATGGGGTCTTTTTTGATGATCATATCTGCTGATTCTATGTAAGCTTCATGAAGCTGGAAAATAATGAAGATAAAATTACATTTGGTGTGGCAAAAGAGACTACACACTTTAAATTTTAATGGAAACTGGTTGCTCTATTAAAAATAAGCACTTTATTTAGGGCAATATCTCACTTTCTACAACAAACAGTAGTAAGTAGTGTGTAGGGTGGTACATGTATACTACAGAAAGTGGGGGTGTTTCCATCATGGTAATATTCAAATCATGTTTTAGATACCAATCTAAAATAAAAGTGAAAAGCAGTAAGAATCTCACATCAGGTGCCAGAGTGATGACCTCGTGGTAATATTTCAGTGACTCAGAGAGATCTTCAGCCTCCCTGGAGAGTGCCCTGGCCAGTCCCAGTCTGGGGTGGTGTGCCTTACGGTTGATAGGGGCATTGGCAGGAACTGGGGCCGCAGCTGGGGCCTCTGCCGGCTTGGCCTCTGCTGGAAAGTTGATAATTATGTTTTGGCAATGTCTGCACAGTGAATGTCAATCTCTTGTGTCAATCTCTTGAGATATGATTCCAAAATAGGATTGTACAGTTATAGTTTTGAATCTGAGTCATTTAGATGAAGCTTGACATTTCTTACATTTAGGGCTGATTTTTGTTCTACTGTCAATCTGGATGTAGTCAGTATTGTCAAGTGTATGTATTCATTACCTGGTTTTTCCTCTTTTGCAGGTTCTGGTTTGGTGGCTGCAGGAGCAGCAGCTGTCTTAGCAGGTGCCCCTGGTTTAGCTGCAGCAGCCCCTCTCCCAGCTGGGGCTCCACGGGCAGCAGGTTTAGCAGGAGCTGCCTGAAGTAGTGAGTGTATATAGAGTGGTAAAACAAAGCTGAATGTGGGTAAAAATGCCAGTATGAAGCAGCTTTTTATACACTATCTACTTTTCTGTAGTTTTTGCATTGTATTGTATTTCAGACATTAATTGCAGTTTCATGTTAATGTCAAAGATATACATGTTAGCTATGTTACTTTAGCAGCAGCTCCTCCTCTTGCGGCGGCTCCCCCGCGTGCTGCAGCCCCACCACGTGCAGCTGCACCTCCTCGTGATACTGCAACGACAAGTGACAAAATGTCAGCTATTCTTCTGTCTGTTACAATACTCCTAATACCTCATTTTTTTTCCAATCTGGACTTTAAATGGCAGCAACTAAGTGCAAAACTCCCTTTTTAAACAAATAATTGCACAATTGTCAATAAATTGTCAATTCAATAAACTGTCCTAACTGAAATTTTCTCAGAGAATCCATATTAAAATGTTTAGTTAATCTTATTTCAAAAATGCAGACTTTAACAACAGAACCAAGATATGGTAACTCTACATGTAGTAATAGACATAAACAAGGCCAATTAACTCCCCTACCTCCCCTGACAGGTGTGGTGGCTCCCCTCCCCCTGGGTGCCGCTGCTCCTCCCCTGCCTGCTCCAGCAGGGGCCTTGTCTGCTGCTGGGGCCGCTGCGGGAGCTTCAGCTTTCTTTTTCTCTTCCTCTGCCTTCACCTTGTCCTGCCACCATTTCTGTCCTATATTGTTTTTGAACAAAGGCATTTTAACAATGAACAAATAAAAATGATGGGTATGCATGTATATGAATTTAGAAAGGAGGCTTTTTCTTATTATCTTTCTTCTTTTGTCTTTTTTCATTTCATTTAATTTCTTAAATTTTATTTCTATTATTGTTATAATTATCACATTTTTGTTAAAATGCATATAATGATTTTCGGTGTGTTTGAAGAGGAGCACACCTTTAATCTCCTCTGGTATTGGCCCCGCTGCAGGTTTCCCCTCCAGTGCAATACTGGCCAGGAAGGACTTCTTACAGTCGTCCAGGAGCTGCTTAGATGCCTCTGACCCAGGGTCATTGTCGTACAGCTCCAGTTGGGAGTTACCAAGAAGATAGAGGGCGTAGCTGTTGCAAGGCTGACTGGTGACCAGCTTCTGGCTTGTCTGTATCAAATAATAGTCATAATCATTATTATAACAACAACAACAACAACAACAATTTTCTAATGGGTATGTCCATATTAAAGGAATTAAATGTCAAGATTTTTTTTTGCCCCAACTTCCTTTCCTGAGAAAAAGAAAGATTACAGACAGCAAAGTTTCAGTGTCCCTTTCAGTAAATTAACTTTATCCATGAAAAAAAGCCAGACAACATAACTATTCAATTTCAACAATTAATAATAGAAAAAAGGCTTATTTAAAGTCCAATTTTCTTTCCAAATCTAAAAAGGGGATTAAAAATAAAGATCTAGATATGTCCTAACCTTAGCCTGCAGAGCCAGCAGATCACTATTGGTGGGAATGGTGGAGTATCTTATCAGTGCTGACAGACGCTCACATCTCTGTGTGATCAGTTTCTCGTTGTCTTTAGGATTGGCTGAGAGCTGCTCCAACAGCAAGGAATGTGCCTCCAGTAGAACCCACTCAAACTGTTTATAGGTGTCGCCTCTGGAGATCCTGGTGAGCACCTGCGTGGCAAGATAGGCAGCACTGAAATATGAGCAGATGACTGTGAAAACTGTAAAAATGAATAGAACTGAAGATTTACTTTCTGTAGCTTAATCATGAACTTTTTTGTTGGTGAAAAATTTTCCTTTTCATCCATGTATCCAGACAAGACTTACAAAACAAAAAATAAGAAAATAGAAACTAGCACAATTTTCAATTACTTACTCTGATGTTTAGTTACATAGACATATACAAATGGACTGTTAGCAAGTAAAAATAATAGAATACATCTGTGATATTTTACCTGTGGAATACATCAGTAGATGCCATGCAGTCTTTGACATCAGGGTTGATAGCGGCCAGTTTGCCCAGCTGGACAATACCCCGAAGCAGGTGGACATTGGACAGTCTATAGAGATTCTCTGCACTAAGTTTTGGCTCCTCGTCTTTACTGAAATGAAACACAACGCACAGAGTAACAGATTATTTGTCTGGTCTAAATAAAAAAGTCAGGTCTCTATTCCACTTTCTACAGAAAGTACTGTAAAATCTATGAGATATATTTCATTCCATGAAATTTCACCAATTTGAAAATGCTCTCTCTATCATTTTGCAATTTTATTTTACATTATGAAAACTTGTATCTTAAAATTCATAGCACAGTGTCTTGTACAATTCTATAATATTCTCATGTTTAAAGAAATTCGTTAACATGAAAAGAACAAAATATATCGTAGATTCTTTCAGCTATCCTCTATGTACATAGACTACCTTGTGCCCTCCACACCCAGTGCCTCCTGTGTAAGCTGTGTTAGCAGTATCTCCATTCCCTCCTGCAGGTAGCTGATGGCCTCCTTGGCTCTATCTCTAGGTCCATCTTTCTGTAGGGCCAAGGCAAGGCCTAGGTAAAACCTGGGGATATCGGATAATTTAGGATAGGATGAAAATAAACTTATTTTGTAAATTTACTCAATTTGTACCAGTTACTGTTTGCAGGGAATACTATGTATTATATGAGTGTTGTCAGATAATGAAATGGCCAATGACTTCTATACCTGAACAACTTGAAAAGAATTTACTGTCTCATCTTCAACTTTTCTAGCATTTACTCTAGGTCAACATCACGGCAGTAATTGGTTCTGTCCCACCCACCTTGCCATCTGGTACTGAGTGTTCTGTCCCACTCACCTTGCCATCTGGTACTAAGGGTTCCGTCCCACTCACCTTGCCATCTGGTACTAAGGGTTCAATCCCACTCACCTTGCCATCTGGTA